TCCATGTGTGGAGTGCTTGGAAATGATAAAGCTGATCAGCTGGCGGTGGAAAGTGTGACAAAAGAGCAGCTTGACGTACCAGCTACATACCACCTAACCCTGGCCAACTGCTGCTGTACAATCAGAAGTTTAACAAATCATTTATGGCAATTCTTGCCCAGGTGATGTTATTATCTATACAGTCTATACAGATGGCTCTGTGTTTAGAGGTAGACGAAGTGCAGGGGGTTTCATAGCAAAAGCGAATGTATGTTGCTCAGAGCAACAAAGCCTATTACAACAAAATGAGATTAAAATCACAATTTATTGGAGAAAAAAATATATCTATATATATATAAAAATCAATGTGTGTTTGTTTAAAGCCTATAGACTCAGAAACTACTGAACCGATTTAGCTGAAATTTTTAGGATATGTTTGTTTTGATACCGGATGTTCACCCATCATGGTTTGAAATTCAACCTGTCGTTGTTAGAGATAGTGTGTGACAATTTGTTGGAAAAATCTTCGAAACTAATATTTCCATTTTTAGTGACATTTAATTATAGCCATGTTAGTAAATGCGCATGCGCCGTAGTCAGAATGCAAGACTTCCACCATTCGCCGGCGAAATACGTGCAGCCAACGCCTTCTCTAATATATATAGAGTAGGTCGTGGTACAGCAAACAAGACTATCTCTATATTTGTGTAGATTACCACAATAAAAATATTAGACACGATTTCTATTTTCCGTTTTTTTCAACCTTCGATGAGTTGGAAAGTAGCCGATGGATTGGTAGGGAAAAGGGGGAGGGGGCATCAAGGACTATCTCGACGTCTGTGCAGACATTAACTGCGACATTAACCCTGTTAGACACGTGCGATTTCGCTTGTTGTGCCGTTTCATTAATATATTTGGAATATCTGTCTATGAGAAAACAATTGCCTGCTGTTTTGAATTGTGTTATATCATGACACTGCAGTAGGGACACACATCTCAAATAGTTATGTTCTATTTTCGTTGCTCCGATGGAGTGGATGCTTGGTTGAATGGTTAGAACACTGGGCTCCTGTGCGGGAGACCAGGGTTCGAATCCGCAGTAGCGTTTTTTCTTAACCCGGGGCCAAAAGAAAATCCTCACTTGCACTGTTGTGGCAAAAGCACTAGCCATATGGCCCTTAATGGTAAAAAGAAAAAGGACAGGTATGTGGGTAAACCAGTTGATAATTAAATTTGACCATTTAACATACTTATGATTTTATTTTAAACATTTCGATTGCATGGTTATGCTGAAATTTCATAGCTTTCCATTTATTTTCATTTAGATTTAATTATTTCATCTGCGTTGGAATTTTAAGCTGTGCTGTTTACCATAGCGTTCATTTCCTAATTATGGTGTATTTTTCCTGTTGTCATTGCTTTTCAATTTGTTTTTGTTTTTTTCCCAACTACTTTGATGAGGGAAAGAGTAGTCGGTGAATTTTTTGGAGGGGGGGGGGGGGACAAACTGATTACTGAGAGAGCTTTAAGTCACAGTAACTGCTTTACCCACTCAAAGTAGCAGTAGTAGTTGTGGGTGGGCGGTTACACCGTAGTGCTCTCATGTGAAGACTGCCGGTAAGGTTATGGCGTTCTTCTGTTGGGTAGCGAAATTATACATCCTAACCTGACCAGTCCGTGGCGACAGAACTAGCCATGTGGCGCCAAATCTTCTGGGTCACGACTCCCTGTCTACTCCGATGGTAAAACAGATAGCAGTGACATTATTTTAGCTACTGTGGTGGTGGTCGTGGTAGTAGTTGTACTGGTACTTGAAGGATGATGTGGTAAATATTACACTAGCCCCATTCACTACCTATTACAATTCCTGCTCCCAATTTAGTCTGAATGGACAGGGATGTCAATGTCTGTAACAACAACAAAACATATCGCCAGGTGATGATTTTCAAACCCTTCGAAGAGTGAGAGAGCAGTAGTGGGTGAAAGAGGGGAGGGGAGGTTGTAATGACTGAAATTTAAGAGAACCTGAAGAGCTTTACACATGATTTGCAAGTTCTCATTACTTACTTTATTTGTTTATATTTTACTATCGCTACCTCCGCTATTCTAATTTTTTTACGACTTACTTTGTTATTTACAAGCACAGTAGTAGCTTTACTTACGTCTCCTTTAAAAATACAAACAGCATAAGCATGTGATAACCAAATAACCACTTTGTTACTGTGCTAATAACACCATTATAACGACCACTAATATAAAGACACAATTATATGGTGCATCTTCTAAAGTTGGAAAACCAGACTATCTCTATATATATATATATGTGCAGAGAATGATTGCGACATTAACTATATTAGACATGTGCAATTTCCATTGTCTTTTTTTTCCAAAAACCTTTGATAAGGGATAGAGTAGTAGGTGGACTTAGTTGTGGGGGGGGGGGGGGATCAAAGACTATCTCTAAATCTGAGCAGACAATGATTGTATTAGACACGTGTTATTTCTATTTTCTTTCTTTTGCATTTAGCCAAACTATGCCACAGCAACGCGTGGCCGGGTGCAGCTAGTATATATATAAAACCAGAGCAACAAAGCCTGGCTTATGATATCATAATGTCTTGTTTTGGATTGGAAATGGCGGCAGTTACTGCTGCCAACCGCTCGATTGAGAATCCGCTATGGCATAACTGTAACTCACTGAAAGATCAAGTTAAGAAAGCTGCATAGTGTCAAGCATTGCTTTAGATGTCTAGGGTAGGTAGTGTCATTTGGCTATTTTCTCCTGGGTTTATACTGGTGTGTTGGGAAATGAGCAGGCAAATAGACTGGTTGGTTTTGGACCACTTGGAGATGTATTGATGTATGACAAGCTAGATGTTATGAAGGCTCCCTTAGGGAGCAAATGATTACATCATTATGATCTGAGGAGAATGACACTGGAGAGTTGCCATTAGATCTGTTAGATGTTCAACACTTGAAGGAAAGACGAGATAGATATCCAATCAGACAGTTACCGGCAGCATCGGAATTGGGAACTACTAACTTGCTGTTGAGTGGGACAGAGTGCTTTGGTGGTGATTCTTGAGTAAATATTATAGTCAAGCCTCGTTGTAAACCAGTTGCTATAACCTTGCCGCTTCAGTGACTGTTGCTGTTTGTGACATACCGGAAGTGTCAGTAATTGTTATTTGTGGAGTAGATGGGTAAAAATGCTGAAGGAATTTGAAGTGTTTTGAAGAGAAAGAAAAGGATGCAGCGTAAGTATGCTGCTTAGATAAGATTTGTCTAGTTATGAATGTCTGCTAACTAATTTTTGCACAACTTATCAGTTAACATTGTTGTAGTTATGAATTTGTATTAAATAAATGTTGGTTTGGTGAAAGTTTATGTATATTTTTTCAGTTAACAGTTATGAATTTGTGTTGCATTATTGTTTGTATAATGAAAGTTTTTGCAACACATTACAGTTGTTAATCTGTAATCACACTTTGGCAGGTGTACAACTGCTTAGATGGCTTTTGAAACTGGGACAGTCAGAACAATCTTGGTTTACATCAGTGCACTAGTGCTACGCTAGACTGACTTACTGGGATGAAATTACCAAGATCGGACATGACATCAGTAAAGTGCATGTGAAACCAGGTAAGATGATTTACTACACTTTAATAGTGATTCTCTTTCTCTTGGAGCCACATAACAGCTGTGAAAAGACTATTTGTTTTATGTTTTCAAGATTTTTAGGTCAGGTTACTTATTTAAGTAGTAAATTTGAAAATCTCAGGAACCTTTAAAAAATTAAAATGTAATATATCTATGTATGGTAGAACTTAAAGAAATGTATAATGATAGCGGCTTATTCTTGTGACAAGTTGAGTTGGTAAATAGTTGCCCTCCACTGACTAAATGATATCTGCATCCACACAAATGGTTTACCTGAACATTATCTAAAGTGTCTACAGGTATTGGTAATACACACTGAATTTCAGCCCATTGAAATAAGAAATTAGTAGCTTATGCTGTCAGTTTTTGAAACACATTTTTAGGGAAACATTTAAACAGATGTTTCTGACCTTTGTCAGAACTCCCCAAAAAGTGAAAAGATCTGAGTTGTCACAGTTGCATGATAAAACTGCAGAAAGATAAATTATTGCTTGCAGTGCAGCGCTCACCCCCCCCCCCCCTTTTCCCCCCAGCAGCCATGAGGCAGGTGAATATATGCAATAATTCTGTTGCTGTCTGATACTAGCGGACACAGCAATTGTGTTAGCTAAAACATGTTCAGAAATGTTAATACCTTTTTGGTTAATATTTTTGGTTAATATCACAAAAACTAACCTGCACCACAGAAAGTAGTACAATTGAAAATGGGGCAATAGCAACAGTGGTCCGAGTTCCAAGAGATTTTAAAAGTACTTGTTAGGAAAGAGCTTGTATTAACTGACTGTCTCTTATAAAATTAGTCACAATAGATGCCCCCAGTAATGCTATGTTGTATAGAAGAGCACTACAGATATCTCCATTTCAGTTTTAAATTGAACACCTCAAAAGAATGTATGATCACCTACCTCATATCATGTCCAGATTGAAAGAATAAGAAAAGAGAGAAAAAAGACTTGATTGAATGTATTTTTTTTTAAGGAATATTGTCCATTGCAGATTTTGTCATTAATGTCAAAGTTAGTTAAGAACAACGTAACTGGGAAATAGTCAATCAGTCAAACAATATTGGGTACTCAAATGTAATTTGCAACAGATTTGGGTATGGTAATGTGAGGTATTGATGTAAAATTTGATGCATGAATTATGTTTGTCCTCAAATTAGCATCTTTGCAGTTAATGTGAGACATTAACAAACAAAACACTGCAGATGTTTATAATAATAATCTGTTTGAAGTGGATTGTATAACAATAAATAATTTTTGATCGTTGTGAAGTGAAAAAGGGTTTAGGAAGGGGTTAAATGAAGAGTGAATACATTCAGACAAGCATCAATGCACGCCAATCCATCACTGGGTGGCATGCTAGAAAATGGCGATTAGAGCACTGTTCAGATGAGGCCAAACAGATATACCAGGAACCTTTAGGGAGTACGTAGGAACAGGTGCATGGACCAGGGCTAAATAGAGTACGTTTATCCAAATGAAGCTGTGACATCTGACAGTGACGGATGTATACGCATGATAAGCAGTCAAGCGAGCAAACTAGTTAGATAGAACACTGCACCACACGGAGATGCACTCCGAACAGATGTAGAGAACAGGTGTCAGGAAGAAGACGACGGACTATAGCCTCAAGAGGGACCACGTACGGACGATTGCAAATGACCACCTGGGAATGATAAGATGGAAGAGGATAAAGGGTGACAGGCGGTGATTGATGACCCATGCATACAGGAGAACGAACGAACGAACAAACAAACTTTATTTTCAAAGGGTTACAAATTGGGCACGCAGGCCCGTCTGACATTCGGCCCTTCTAAGTACTCATTTTTCAGAGTACCAGTACCTGTTATCACTAATGCATGTTATGGATTTTAAAAAGAAATATAATTTGTAGTATAATGCATACACACATCATGTGTACACAATCACACATCTCTGAGGCCTCCAAAATCCAGACAATGTTCCTTACCCGTGTCCTCTGCAACAGGGCATGTCACTCTGCACGAAGCATGCCTGTCCTAATCTTCCTCAGCATGCTTTCTGAGTCAGTTACAATCACGATGTGTGTGTGTTGTGTTCTCTAACCAGCGGAAAGCTGCAGTGACCGCCTCCACCTCCATTCTTAAGATGGATGTTGTGGTATCTTATGCTAGGCTCTCCTGCACCAAACGTCGACCATTCACTTTTGCTAAGAAACCCCAAGCATTTCTTTTGCCTCTTGACACTGAACCGTCTGTGTAAATGATTAAATCCTCTGAGCGAGCATTATCTTGAACTAATTGCTGAATTTCCACCTCCGTGGCACCTGCTGGCCAGTCTGCATTCCCGGCTCAGTGTGATTATGACCTTACAAAAGTCTTACTGTTCAGGTGGCACTTTGACCCACTCCTCTACTCACCTACTGTTGTCAAGGATGCAAACCTGTCTAATTGTGTCTTCTGATTCATGACTTCCCTCTTATCAGCCCCTGACCCTTAACTGCACCCAGAGTATCATGCAGAGGGTGGTCTGTGTCTGCAGCTACCCTGAGACATGACTTCGCCTGCATCACTTTGTGCCTACCTGCAACCGTCGGCAAACCAAGGATGTATCTCATACACACCACTGAGGTGTCTCTGGTGCAACCCAGAATGACCTGCATAGCCGCGTTCTGTATACGCTCTAGTTCTGACTCTCCGAAACGATAAGCAGTCTCTGGCCATAATCAATGACTGACAGGATCAGGTGCTGATATAGTGTGAAAAGCAATCTCTGCTCCATGTCAATAGCAGCCATAGTCGTAAGTGCACTAAGTCCTTTTTGGCATCTTGTCACAACACTCTCCATATGGTCCTTAAAGGACAGGCTCCTGTCATATATAATTCTCAGATACTTCAGTTTGCTCTCTCTGTTGATGTTCCTACCATCTATCATGAGACTTGGGACATACATTGGCCTTAAAGAGTCTGTTGTCAAGATAACACCACAAAGCAGATGCTGTTTAAAGGTGTACGGCAGCCCTCATTTCTGTACACCACTTAGTCACTTTGTCCACTGTCGCTTGTAGCTGCTGGGCTGTTTGTTCCGTCTCTTCCTTGCCTATATGCAAGTATATTATCTGCAAAAGTCAGTATCCTTCTAACTCCTGGTGCTTCTAGGTTTGCAATAATGCTTGTATACACATTAAAGAACCCTTAATATACGACTAAACCAAAAGTGGTCGCATTTGCCTATGTGTTCTTTCCTGACCTGTATTTTCCCAGACCTCTCGGGAAAAGACTTCCCCTTTACAAAATTTCTTTAACTGCATCCCTGATGTCTACATCATTATGATCTGTCTGAGTTATAAACCTATGTAGAAAAGCCTCACCTTTTTCTTTGAACTGCTGTCATATGCTCACCTACACTAAATACACCCATTAAAGACAAGCAGGGTAAACTACTGCTGTCCGACTACCAACAAACAAAGCGATGGGCAGAACATTTCAATGAAATATTCAATAGGCCAAATCCTGACATCATTCCCAATCTAGAAGAAGAAATTATGACACCAACACTAGTTGCCTCCAGCGAGTCATTCACAATAGAGGAGATTAAAATAGCTATTAAAAAATTAAGAATAAACAAAGCTACCGGAGAGGACAACATCTCAGGGGAAATGCTCAAAGCAGCGGATGAAAACACCCTGCAACATTTGCTCCAGCTGATGGATGAAGTCTGGCAAAATGAATACCCACCACAACAATTGAAAGATGGTGTAATCTTCAAATTACCTAAAAAAGGTGATTTATCCGATTGTAACAAATGGAGAGGCATCACCCTGCTTTCGATACCAGGGAAACTAGTTTGTAGTATGCTACTAGAAAGATTGAAAAAATCCATAGATGAAAGATTAAGGGAAGGACAAGCCAATTTTAGATCCAAGCGGTCATGCATAGACCACATCTTTACTCTTAGAATAATTGTTGAAGATTCTACAGAATTCCAGTCGAAATTATTGATCAACTTTGTTGACTTTCAAAAAGCCTTCGACAGTATCCATCGTCTAACACTCTGGAAATTGCTTAACATCGATGGTTTCCCCATCAAATATATCAACATCATAAAATCTTTTTATAATGAAACACGATGCTGTGTAAGAACTGATTCCGGCAATTCTGACTGGTTCCCGGTGGAAACAGGAGTGAAGCAAGGCTGTGTCCTATCGCCGATGCTTTTTGGTATAGCAATCAACAGGGTCATGCGCAAGTGCATAAATAACGCAAATTTAGGCATTACATGGGTTGACAAAATTCTGGAAGACCTAGACTTCGCCGACGACATAGCACTCCTGAGTTCAGAACACACAGACGCCCAAGAAAAAAATCAATCGACTCCAGAATTTCTCAGAACAAATTGGACTCCAAATTAACACCGCAAAAACAAAAATTCTAGACCTTACCAACAGTTCAGTTGATATCACGCTGAACAACAGCCTTGAAAAAGTCAACAGTTTCACTTATCTAGGGAGCAAGATGTCATCTACAGGAGATACCGCACCAGAAATATCATTTAGAATAGCACTGGCATTTAGTGCCTTCAATAAACTGTCTAACATCTGGAAATCAAAGACACTTAGCAAACACACAAAACTCAAGATCTTCATTCCTTGTGTGATTTCAGTACTAACCTATGGATGCGAGAGCTGGAAATCAACGAAAACTCTAGACACAAAATTAGACAGTTTTGAAAATAAATGCCTTAGAAGAATACTAAATTTCAAATGGTCAGATTTCCAAACCAATACACAAATAAGACAAGAATCCAGGCAAGAGTATGTGTCTAATTTTATACGAAAACGCTGCTGGAACTATGTCGGCCACGCCCTTAGAATGTATAAATCAAGACTTCCTTACCAAGCCCTCATTTGGACACCACAGGGGAAAAGATCTCGTGAAAGACCAAGGGAAACCCTACATAGAACTATCATCAGGGAAGGCTCACTCATGGGCCACTCAAACATCCAAGACAACGGATTGCAACGGACCGCCGTGCATGGAGAGTCGTGACCTCTGCCCTATGTGCCGCACTCGACACAAGAGGAAAGACTAACTAACTAACTAACTAACTAGCTGTCATATGCACACCATTGTCTCGACAAATTGTTCCCACTGTTATAGGATGATCTTTTCTTTGCATCTGCCTTTGTAGTTTCCATAATCTCCCCAGTTTTATCGCCTCCCATGTCATTCACAAAAGTTTTCTACTTTGCTCTTTTGGTCTTCAGTGCTTGAAAACTTGAAAACCTCCACTTTATGTCTTTTCACATTCTCCGCCACCTCCATTTCCTTTTGTGAGCTTAGAGTGTCTGTCAAACTTTTTTTTAGCTGCTTCCCTGCTGCTCTCTTTGCTTCCACGCCTGTTCTACTTCTGGAGTCCACCATAGAGGCTGTAGAAAATTAGTTCTGGCATTTCTGTTGCATGCTCCCTGTCTGAGGGTCCATGTAGGTTCCACTTATACCGGAAAGTCTTGCATGCTCTCCCAGCCTTAACTGTACTGGGTTTAGAAATCAGGACTGAACATGGTAGGTGATCACTGCCATTGTCACTCAGGACATTATATTTAACATCTAAAAGTGACCACTGGGAGACACATGTCAAGTCATTGGCTGTGTCTGCATCACCAGACCACATTGACATTCTAGTTGGCCTCCCATCATTGATGCAGACCATATCGGAGTCGGCATGGCCTCTGCAAGAGCAATTGCCTGTCGGTTTTCTCAACTGCTGTCCCATTCTCTGTTCCTCGCGATGAAATCCCCACATATGAGTAACCTATAATCTGGTAACTCGTCCAATTCCTTGAGCCAGCCTCATTGTTCCTTTCTGACAAAACAATTTGCCCTGGCATATGTATTTATGAGGTTCCAACTTAAACCACCAATCTCCACCTGTATCCCCTGAACCTCTCTTCCACTGTGGTTCCACTGGCTCAAGTCAAGCAAGACATGCGTCACTCCCTCCTGTACCACCAGACATTGTCCATGTCTCATCTGTCTAACAGGGTTTGTATAACTGACGTACCTAGGGTAATGATATCTGTCTGTATTAGCTGGTGTAGCATGATGACATGAAAATCAAAACTCCACCTCTGTATTACTAACATATTGGAATAAGCAGTTCAACAGTGTCGCAGCGCTCAAGTGGCTGGGTCATATCTGGAGAATGGACAGATTCTATAGTGAAGTACAGAAGGGTAGACGGTGTTGAAGCAGACCTCTGCTATGATATAAAGATAGTTGCAAATAGGACATAACACGAATGAAATCAGCATTGAGGCGGAAACAATTCCATGGACTGTATTATTGCATGCAGGGAGCGTGTATGTATATATATATATATATATATATATATATATATATATATATATATATATATATTATATATATATATATATATATATATATATATATATATATTATATATATATATATATTTCTATATTTCTCCAGCCGAAATAATGAAATTATGGGTAGTTGAAATTTAGATTTTTAATAGTTGGGAAGCTGACTGTCTCACTGGTCGTCATTTGTAGCAATGTTAATTCAAAGAAGAGTGTAATGTCTATACTGCATATTGTAACCAATATATGTGTTTAATGTATTTAATCTATTTTGCCTGTTAGGCGTTTATGACCCTAATTTGCTACATTCATAGTCAGTTTGGCACAGTGCCTAAAAGTTTGAAATGTTGTCCATCTGATAGTAAGTATTCACATGTAATATTATATTATATGCTAAAAAGTAACATTAAAGCAAGAAGATTATTTCTGTTAATAGTGCCAAGATAGTATTAGTAATCCTAACCTGTACGTCCCACAAGCATGGATCCAAATGTTTAAGCACTAGATATGCATATCCTCCAACTATTTTAATTGAATGTTTTTTAGTTGCTATTGACATTTCTGCATAAATTAATGTGTTTCATTACATTTCAGGTATTTACAGAACTGCACACTACAGAGTAGAGGGCTCACACACCACAGAGCTGGAGGCACAGTCTGTCAAGAGGGAATCTGTGAGTTGTAAATACTGTTATGTATGAAGTTCTGGTTAGTGATCTCAGAAAATGGGAGACATGTTGCTTGGTTCATTTGTACATGACTACACCGTAGAGTGTTTCTGTTAGAAATGTTCCAGTTGCAATTTCTCCTGTCCTCTGGTCAGTGAATGTTGTCCAGAAGATGTGTGAATACAGCTGACAACTGTTCTTGCACTTCTAGGCTGAATATAACATACACTGATTATGAAGACAGTTGAGCAAGTTTCTATTTTGTGGATTATAATGTAGTAGTCTCTTATAGTGACATGTCTTCTGCAGTATAGTAGTTAGAGACAGGAAATGCTGGTAATGCTTCTGACTTACCCTGCATTGCTGGATGTTGCGTGACTGTTTATATTGTGGTTCAATGGTAGCCCATTAACTTTAGCACTGGACCTAAACAATTCCACCCTCAGTTTTTTTCTATTTTGATAGACTTCACTATGCAGTAGCTGTGTAATAAAAATGGTGTAGGTGTAAGTTGTCATCCCTTCGCATTTGTCAATGCTTTTGTCTACTACTTTATGGCCTATAGTGAGAATCGTTGATCTCGTCCTTTGGTTGTTTGCTAGTCTGTTTGTATTCTGTTGTTCATGCACAATGCTTTGCCACCACCCTGGGCGATGGTGACACCAGACAGGAGCTTGTTCAACTCCTCGTCATTGCGGATGGCAAGCTGAAGGTGACGAGGGATGATTCTGGTTTTCTTGTTGTCGCGGGCAGCATTGCCGGCCAACTCCAGGACCTCAGCGGCTAGGTACTCCAGCACAGCAGCCAGGTACACGGGTGCGCCAGCACCGACACGTTCAGCATAGTTGCCTTTTCTCAGCAGACGGTGAATACGACCCACTGGGAACTGCAGACCTGCCCTGGAGGAGCGGGACTTGGACTTGCCTTTAACTTTTCCGCCTTTACCACGTCCGGACATGTTGATTCTGAGGAGAGGTAAGCAAACTTGCAAAATGCAAAAGAAGGAATAACAGCTTTGGTTAAAATACGCTGCCGAGTTGTTCGTTAAATGCCCGTGCCGAGAAATGACGACAAGTGGCAAAGCGAAAAGGAGAGGTGGGCGCGCGGCCCAGTTTTTCGTAACTCGATTGGCGACGTGCTTCCTATTGTTGAAATGTGGTCGTCCTTTTCCACGGCGGCGGCGGCATGAAATAAATGACACGGAGTCCTGCCGCAAAAATATCATTTCGTTCGCAACTTAGACATCATGCCACCCAAAGTTAGCAGTAAGGGCGCCAAAAAAGCCGGCAAAGCCAAGGCAGTGAGGACTGGAGACAAGAAAAAGAAGAGGAGGCGAAAGGAGAGCTACAGCATCTACATCTACAAAGTCCTGAAGCAGGTGCACCCAGACACTGGCATTTCTAGCAAAGCCATGTCCATCATGAACTCCTTCGTCAACGACATCTTCGAGCGCATTTCCGCCGAAGCCAGTCGCCTGGCCCACTACAACAAGCGCAGCACCATCACCTCCAGGGAGATCCAGACAGCTGTCCGTCTCCTCCTGCCCGGTGAGCTGGCCAAGCACGCAGTCAGTGAAGGTACCAAGGCAGTCACCAAGTACACCACGTCGAAATAAATAAGCCGCTAGCATTGAGCGAGCGCCCTAACACAAGGCCCTTTTCAGGGCCCACATTTAATTTAACAGTTTAAACATTTTCCCGAATGCACGAGAGTTTCGTTTGCCTTTGATCTCGTCACCGGCGTCATCCTTTTATCTGTAGTGTCCCTGAAATTCGTTCCCGTCCGTACATTCTGCGGTGGTCGGCTCGAAGCGATACATCAAAGAAACGTGCCGCGCGCGGCGAGTAGCCGCCGATCAAAGGCGGAAATCCGAGCGAATGTGGTAATCACGGGTGTGCCTGGTAATAAGGGATTGTTTCGGGACTGAAATAGTGTTGGTCGGCTCAACACAGTGAAAAGCCGCTATCATTGAAGGTGCGACTTAGTTTTTTGTTATCTATGTAGATGCGGCACCCCACGCTTGATGTGTTTAGTTGTGGTAAAAGACTGGATGAAATTTGCGAAGATGACTGATGCGTGCAAAGACACTGTATGATAAAGTATGCACGCGGCACAAACGGCTTGTTGCGTTGCGTCGACTAAACTAAACCATACGCTAAGTTATTTTATCTTGTGTGTGTGTGTGTGTGTGTGTGTGTGTGTGCGTGTGCGTGCGTGTACGCGCGCGAGTGTTTGTTATTGTATGCAACAAAAGCTTATTGTTTTATTGTAAAGTGTAGCTTGTTAAAGGTTTCTTTCTTTTGTTTTATTTATTTGTGAGGGGGAGGGGGAGAGAGAGAGAGAGAGAGAGAGGGGGGGGGGGGGAGAGAGAGAGAGAGAGAGAGAGAGAGAGAAGCGCCCACGTGGCGGCGAACAAACAAACAGCCAACAACAACAATGTGCGAACTCGTGGCAATCTAGCAGAGAGGGTGTTAATTAGAAGCGTTGTGGGGGCCCTGAAAAGGGCCGTATTTTATGGTCTGACTTCGGTAGCTTGATTAACCTCCAAATCCGTACAGAGTGCGGCCTTGGCGTTTCAGGGCGTAGACGACGTCCATGGCAGTGACGGTCTTCCTCTTGGCATGCTCGGTGTAGGTGACGGCATCGCGAATAACGTTCTCAAGGAACACCTTAAGAACACCTCTGGTCTCCTCATAGATGAGTCCAGAGATACGCTTGACACCTCCTCGCCTGGCCAGACGGCGGATGGCTGGCTTAGTGATACCCTGGATGTTATCACGCAGAACTTTGCGGTGACGCTTGGCGCCACCCTTACCCAGACCCTTGCCTCCTTTACCTCTTCCTGACATTGTTGTTTCTGTAACTGACTGACTGACTGACTGACTGACTGACTGACTGACTGCACTGCGCGCGGTTTTCCCATTTATAGATTAGGCGGCGGTGTTCAGGCAATATGGCACAGCACCTGGGGAGTAGGCGGTTGAACGCGCGAGCACAATGAGACTATGGTCGCTGAAACTAACAATTTTGTTGTTGTTGCTACAGATGGTGTCCCTCGCCTGACACTCGCTGACTGCCGATGTTACACCGCAAAGCCTTGTAAGTACTAGTTTTAGTCGTGTTAGTATGTATGCTTTACAGCTCGATTATGGACTTGCTAGCAACTCTCTATAGGGATAGGGTGGTGTTAGGTTAGGGGTTTAGGGTTTTCAGTGGGGGTTAGGTTTTTCGGTTAGGGTTGGGTTTTTCGGTCAGGGTTAGGGGTTTCGGTTAGGGTTAGGTGTTTCGGTTAGGGTTAGGGGGTTTCGGTGAGGTTTTTTCAGGGTTGGTAAATTGTCGTGGCCGTGCCAGGTTGAACGCGGTCGAGTTTCGAAGTTTTGTGCTGAAAAGGGGGAGTAGAATTTTTTCCCGGCAATTCAACTCAAATCCGCTGCGTTGTTTGTCACAACCGTCGTCGAAAAACAAACCGCCGGAAAATGGAGGCAAAGCTTCCCCGTAAACAGCTAGCCGCAGAAAACCGGCTGGAAGCCCCATCGTTACAGGCCTGGCACCGTGGCTCTGCGAGAGATCCGTCGTTACCAGAAGAGCACTGAGCTGCTCATCCGCAAGCTGCCCTTCCAGCGTTTGGTGAGAGAAATCGCCCAGGACTTCAAGACCGACTTGCGATTCCAGAGCTCAGCTGTTATGGCTCTGCAAGAAGCCAGTGAAGCCTATCTGGTGGGTCTCTTCGAGGACACCAACTTGTGCGCCATCCATGCCAAGAGGGTCACCATTATGCCCAAGGATATTCAGCTGGCTAGGCGTATCCGCGGAGAGCGCGCTTAAGTGCAGCGGTCCTGCTCCTACACACAACGGTCCTTTTTAGGACCACCCATTACACCCCTAATGGCATCTACCGCTGATTGCATCCACGAGTTCTCACCTTAACCCTCACCCGAAAACCCCCGTCAGTCTGCAGTGGGCCGTTATCTAAACGTAACATTAGGTCATGCTAATTTAAACAAAGCCCGGTGATTCGATTGCATAATAACGACGACCACGTGCTACCCGGAGACAGGTAGGCTCTCTCCGCCCATTTTAACTATATTAATGGCAACCAATCAAGTTATTGTTTCACCCGGCTTTGATGTGTGCCGTCTGGCCTCCGTTGAATAGGCGGGAAACGCTGGATTTTTTTTTTTTTTTCTTTCTATTCCGACTAACACGTGGACACGACAACAAAGGAGTATTTTCAAGAAAGTACCCAAAAAAGGTGTCTACAACACGTGCTGTTCCCAAGCGGTCACCCATCTAAGTACTAAACACGCCCGACGTTGCTTGACTTCGGTGATCGGACGAGAAC